ACTTCTTCGTGGTATGAATCCGAGCACAGTATGCATGGCTAAGGACAGAGACTGCACATATGATGAACTTGAAATGTAAAACAGCAAACAAGTATGTGATGGAATGAAAGCACAGAAAGTCCAACTGCGCATTCTAGAGTCCCTATCAAAACCATCACCCACACTGGACGGTCCTCACACTAAGAGTCTAGCTGACCTTCACATGTGGTCTTGTTTCTAGTTCCAGCTCTACAGAGTCAACCGAATCCTATTTCAACACGTCACAGTGTGTATGCAGATTCATTTCCCTCACTGTCAACTAACCCACCTATCAAATCACTTCCTAAACATCATTCTAAAATAACATTCTTTTTAACCACACCCAAGTCCATATTTGACTGCTGCCTAACTCAACACAGCATTTTAAAAATATTTTACCATTACTATCTATGAACCATCATATTATATTCTTTAAAGGTAAAATCATTTTCTGACAGACAATTTTCATGTTTTATAATTAAAATCTAAATACTGCTAGAAAACACTGCATGGAAAAACCTCAATTTTTCTTTGATACTCAAGTCAAAGCATTTATGTTTTAATCTTTTCACCCTAAAAGTCAAGAAGAAAACACGAACGGGCAGACTGGGAGTGGACATAAAAGTGGGTTCCCCACTAAGAATATGCAGAAGACCCTAGGAAACTAGAAATTCGAAAGGTGCTCCATAAGACTTCTGGGCCCCCCACCCAACAGCCCTGTTCTCTATCTTTGAAGCAGAAACAGTCATGTGGCACTCAGTTAACCTGGCAAACTGACAGGCTGTTCCAGTCTATGCATCCAGAAAGGCTAACACAACATACTGCTTGAAAGTGCCTTTCCTGAAGTTAGCCCAAAGTACATAAATGAATTATAGGATATCTATACATACTTTGCAGATTTGTTTTTCATTGTAGTTACTTAGTAGGTGTGTGTGTGCATGTGTACATGTGTGTGCGTGTGCATGCGCACGTGTGCGTGTGTGTGTGTGTGTACCTGCCACAGGATGTGCGTGGAAGTCAGAGGATAACTTGTGGGACTTGGTTCTCTCCTTCCACCACTGTAGGTCCGGGGATGGAGCTGAGGCGGTCAGGCTTGGGGACAGGTGTCTTTACCTACTGAGCCATCTCACAAGCCTAAGTCTATTTTTCAGGCTCCTGAAATCAATACTTTAGTCCAAAATGTTTTTTTAAAAAAGTGAATAAAACCATTGGCAAGCAAAGAGAACACACTGCAGTGCTTTCTGAACAATGTGTTATTTTTGTCCAGAGGTAAAATGATTAAAAAAAAGACTCTATCCTTTGTACAAACTAAAGCCAGCAGTTGATGAATGCCACGATGCTGCCTGAACACACCAGAATGGCAGTCACAAAGCAACTGTGCATTTCAGAATACAACATCACCATCCACCACATACAGTCAGCTCTGTGTCAGCTCTTCCCATACCAAGACATCCCCTTCCCCACTGGGCTGGTCATGGGGCAAGGAAGGTGGCTCCCCACTCACATACCTTCTGTGGATCCCATGTTTAGAGATGTGTTCTTAACTGTTTCTTTTAAAGGACCCTTAAAAGTAAAGAAAATGAAATCAGCCTCCTTGTTTTCTAACAATAGGGCTTGTTCTGGGCTGCAGAGCTGCTAGGACCCCTGCCCCCACGAGGAGAGCTGTCACTGGAGCAGCCCTGGAACGTTCTCTCATCTTGTCCTGTGCTCCCTTCAAGTCTGATTTCTCTCTTAACTCGCCTGCGTCCCCCATATCATTAAGTGATTCATTTCTTCCTCAGCACTTGACTTCATAGTTTCCCACTTCCAATCTGAATGTTCTATTGTGACTATACTTCAGGCGATCGATCCTCTCTGCTTGACAATGTGGGCAAGGGCCTCTTAAGAGAACCCACTGATTTCTTCCCTCATTTTATGTGACTCAACACCCAGCAGAGAGGGCAACCCATTGGGGGTCTTCAATAAATACCAACAAAACCAAACAGCGAAGGCGGAATTGTGCAAAAAGAATTCACTCTTGTCAGCAGCATAAGAACACCAAAGACAGAGACTGAATTTGTCACCTTGTACAAATCTGATGGGCTCCTTACCCTGAATCAGACAGAGCAGACATTAGAAGCCAAAAGATAAATATCCAATAAGATATTTTCATTACTAACACATAGGTCAGATTTTGCCCTATCTTTTAAATCCCCATTTGATTCGGTAAAACATGGAAATAGCCAGATGGAAGATGAGATACAGCCTGTAGCCAGGCTGCCACGGGTCTACGCATCCAAACAGATAGAGCTCTGTTTTCCAGGAAGCACACTAAATCTAGAAATCTATTCAAGAGGTTAGAAACAGAGACGCACAACATGTATCACTATATGCAGAGAGATGATAATATTTATTTCACCTTAATGCGTGAGTTAACAACAGAGCTTCATAGGAAATATTTATTAAGGTTTTTTAACATTAAGAACAGAAGGTAAGTGCATACATTCTTGAGTCTGTCCACTTAGGTTTCAATTAACATCTCTACCCCTGAACACTTGGAAAATTAAGATTTCCTGCCTGTCTACAGGGTTACTTATAGATGATAAGGTATCTGCCTTATACAGTTGGAAGAATTAAGTTAGACAATGCATGTTAAAAAGTTAGAACAATGCTACACACAAAGTACTCATTAAATTTTGTCTATTGTTGACAGTATTTATGAGTCTGAACCTTAAAAATGTTTTCATATATGTTTTATATTGACATCCCACAAACTTAAATGTCACAGAAACACATAAACACCCTATTCTAAAAACCCTGTGGGCAATTCTGGTATATTTGGAAATTTATATTCACAAATGATCCCTGGCTCATTGGCCTATGTTTACACCCCAATCTTGACCCACGAAGCCTGGACATTAGTTTCTTGTATCAAAAACATTACACTGAAGGAGAAAAAAATAATTCACTGAAGCCATTGGGTTATAAAGGTGAGAGGCATGGCAGTAATAAAAGGCAAATTCTACACCAAACACTGTGGTAAGACATGATTGCTAATAAAGCTAAAATGGATTGAGCACGTAGAACAGGAATAGAAAATTTTAGATCATATTTTGAGCTCTGTGTAGTCCAAAAACAATGTAGAAAAAAGAAAAAAATCAATATTCCACACTGGACTTCCTCAATCTGCCATAACCTTCAAGTTATTCTGAGAGTCAAATTCTACACCAAACACTGTGGTAAGACATGATTGCTAATAAAGCTAAAATGGATTGAGCACGTAGAACAGGAATAGAAAATTTTAGATCATATTTTGAGCTCTGTGTAGTCCAAAAACAATGTAGAAAAAAGAAAAAAATCAATATTCCACACTGGACTTCCTCAATCTGCCATAACCTTCAAGTTATTCTGAGAGTTCTGAGTGGAGAGAGAGAGAGAGAGAGAGAGAGAGAGAGAGAGAGAGAAAGAGATCATTTTCAAATTCACAGAGAGTTTCCTCCAGCAACCTCCTTGCCCTGTCCAAGACCAGTCAGTTCATGCCAGCTGCTAAGGGTGCCATTACCTGGATCAACTGCTATTACCCAACAGAAGGATGGAGAGGGGGATGTAAGAGAGACAAGCAAACCTGATACTTTCTCAGCACCCAAATTAGGTGGATTAGCTTCTTACTGTCACCCAACCCTGCAGGATTGGAATCCTTTCCCCATCCCAGGGAGATCACTTAGAGCTTAAAGGGAAACGTTGCCTGTTCATGATGACAATTTAGGAAAGCACTCATACTGAATCCAATCCCAGAGCTGAGGCTTTGACCACTGCTCCCTGCTCTCTCCACAGAGACATCTAAATCCCAGACCCTAAAACCTGGATGAATAGACAGTGGTTTGAAGACTTCTAGCATCTCATAGGCAGGTTTGCAAGTCACAAAAAAGAATGAAATGGAGATGCACTGACTTCAGAGGAAGGAAAGGGTTGCTGGGAGCAACAGTAGATGGTACTTGGACTGTCAATAGAGAACATGTCACCACCATCTTAGGAGACAATTCAGTATGTGAGCATGTGAGGACCATTTGCCAATATTTAAGACTGTGTCAGTTTAAACACTAAAATCAAAATGAACAAAAAGTTAAACAGGTGAGATGCAGAAATGACTGAATGTGGTATGGCTTAAGTAGGATCAGGAAATACCAGCTCTGACAACCGTCGATAAATTATGAGCAAGTTGTGGGGAAAGCTGGGGACAGAGAGGGCTGTGAGCTGTAGGGTTAGTTACTACAACTGGAGTAAAGGTCCTAGAGCAAATGAGGTAAAACCCAGTAATAATTCTTTTCTAAATCTACTATCCCCACTCATTAAGATGATATAAAACCCAAACATGAAATGAAGGGGAACACACTCGAATGATGACTCATGGATAATTTTCAGTCCAATTTGAATTAAACCAAGCAAGAAACGTTAGCTGTCTAGGAAAGTAAATGTGCATACAATTAAAATATTTTCAACAACTAGAAGGTCTCCTTGTAAGCTGCTCTTAATCTGGGTTTGGAGAAATAATAATTAATCATTTAATGAAGCCATACCTTGGCAAGATTATAAAGAACTGAGGAACAATGTATTCGCCACGAGAGATACCGATCCCAAGAGGATGATGTCACAAATCTATCTTTCTACATGGCCAAGGTTAAAAGCTCTTTAGCTTTCTCTCATTTCCTGCAGCAGGACTTCTTGGTGGGCACTGACCTCCCCACTGGCCAGTATCAGCCCTGGCCAGTTCTTAGATACAGAAAAGAAAAAGAACGTACGACTCCATCAGAGAGGGTGAGAAGGAAAGTCAAAGACAGGACTAAGATGGGAGAAGGTAGAAAAGAGGGAGGGTGCTGAAGGAGGCAGACTCGGGGGAGGAGGCCTACGCTCCTGGGAAGTACACCCTGCACACTGCCTCCTTCTCCCTGGTCTCTTCGTTCCCTTAGGGTGAAATGGACTACCAACTCCAGTGGGGCCATTACCTGGATGAGCTCGTCCAGCTCAGTGGAGTTGACACAGGCGTGCTGGGATATGAATGTCTGTTTCTGGATCACAATGGTGGTCCTCTGGGAAATCTCCTGAGGCTGCTCCAAAGCCTTGAACACAGTGGCTCCGATGATCAGATAGAGGACAACCACCAGGAAAATCGTGGAGACCGTCTTCCATTTCATAACATTAATGGCCGTGTCACTCTCCACCCGGGAAGCAAGAACGGTGGGTTTCGTGGAGAACGAGAGCCTCGGTTTGGAGTTCTGAGCGGCAGACTTAGGATCCAGCAAGTCAGGGGCCGCCACTGACAACAACAGAGAAATGTAGGTTAGGCTGGAGGAGGCTGGTGCCAACGGACTGGGCTGTTCTTTAAGGGGTCAGCAAAGGCTGGCTGAATTTGAGGGCTCTCCTACTGGGAGCTGAGGACCCCTACCCAGCAGCCTTCCCTCATCACTCACAGGACCGTATATATGAGTTCAAGGAAGGGGGCTGGACCTCTGCAGTCAGCTGCTATTGGAGTGCCAGGTGGAAGAGAAAAAACTGGAGCCAGACCAAGAGATTAAAAATAAATAAATAAATAAAAGAATGCCTGAGGGATTCCTCATTAATTTCTGGATTTGTATCTGCCCATGATGAAGTCAACAAAGATACTCCGAGCTCCCAAGGGGTGATGGTATTGAACGAGGCAGTTGCTCATGAAGAAGCCTTTACTTGTGGTTTACTCCCGTTGGAGACCTACATACTGCGAACGAATCAATACAAAGAATGTTCGCTATTTGGCTTCAAAAAAAGTCTTTTAAGGAATTATATTGTAATTGTGACAAAAGAAGCTGTGATCCAGGGTTGCTCATGACATCATCCATAATTTTCTAGTGTCAACAAAGCACTCAGCCCAATCCTATTCATTGCCTGTCTTCTGAAGTGGGATCTCCAGGAAACATTGTTATTCTGACTCTCACAGGTTCAGAAAACAGAAGTTATTCTAACCCTTGGGCCACAACCCTACAGCCAAGAAAAGACAAGTTCCCACCAGCTTCCCAGCAAACAACATCAAGAAAAAAGCTCAGTACCTTACCTCACACCTTAGACCCCCATGCTCTGTACAAAGCTAATCACTCCATTAGCATGTATTTCTGTGCCCACTTATAAACTCCCAGATACTGTGAGGTGACTCTGGGTACATCTATTATTTATCTCAGCTCTTCGAAATTATCATTAATGGATTTCTTTTTAGAAAATAAAGGAGTTACTAGACATCACTTGCAAGGGGAAAATGAGCCATGTAGGACGAACATCTGACCGGAGAGACACTAAACTGACGGGTTGACAGAATGACTGAAAAATACGAGACAAACTCCACCCTAAACAATTTAAAGCCCACCACTGTTACAGAAATTAGACAAGTTGTATAGTGTGTATACTATCGGTTTCAGAAATCGAAAACATAATCTAAATCCCACTTTTAAGAAAGCATAAGAGATTCCCATGGAATTGTACCCTGCAGCCACCTGAAATTGCTCAGTAGGGCTCATAAAGCTCACCAGTTTCACAGGGCTACCCTGCCCTCTTGCCTAACACTGTGGGTTAAACATAGGCACCCGAGTGTGAGTTCATAAAGCCATCTGCACTTGCCCATCAAAAAGACGCTTTCCAAACAAAGCTATTTGAAGCGCTCGAGTGTTGTAAAAGGGTGGCAGATGACAGCATCTCCTCCAGCAACCAAGCTCAGAGCAGTCCTGACTTTGAAGACATGAAATCAGAGCAGACACCGGGTCCCCTCCCCCACACCAGCTCAGGTGGCAACTCCACGGACAGTTCCTCAGCAACTTCCCAAGGCTCAGCTCAGGACTTGCAGGTGTCTGCTGACCTCTTCCACCATTCACCTGCTCTGAATACAGCCACCAACTAGGAGCTCTTCAGCAACACCTGCAAAGGCAACCGCAGCAAGTGGACAGGTGTTGACTGTTTTGTTTATAAATACACTTTTTCTAATAGAAGTGCTTATGATGGTTAAAAACCATTGCCAGCAACACCCCACTTCCCTTCCTGCTGCTCAGTGAGTCTGGGTGAAAAATAAAATGGACTAAAATCGAGCCATCTTTTGAATTAATAAACACCACGGAGGTGCCCACACGCTATTGAAGCCTGTGCTTTCCAAGCCCCCTCCCTCCCTCTCCTCCCTCTGTTTCTGATTTTCACCCAATGTTGCTTTCTCATCCAGAGAATTAGAAAACACCACTAATGTTTAACTTGAAGCTACAAATCCATCCAAGCGATGTCCTGATGTACTTTGGGGGAAAGAGGGCAGAATTTTTTCTAAGATTATGTTTGTGTGTTAGGCTAATTTCCTGAGAGTTTAATTTTAAGCTGTTGCTTTATGTTTAATTGAAATATATATATACACATATATATTGCACATTTGGCAGATTGGGCAAAATTTGGTGGCATACATGGTGGCATACAAAATAAGTCTTTTTAAAAACAGTCTTGTCTTTTGATAGAATCTGCAGGCCTCCGGAGTTCCCATCTCCACGATTTAGTGACGATCCGGCTGCAAGCTGCCAGTTCCATGCCACACACGCCCCGGCCCAGACAGTACCCCTCCCCTCCCCTCCCCCAGAATCCCTCTCCTGGTGCTCCTGGTCTCTGGTCCATCAAGACATGTCTTTTGAGCCCTACATAAGTGCCCACCAAAGGGCAGCACAAAACGAGTTGGTCTGTTTCAGGACCACTGTGTGTCCCACATGCAAGGGGCAACAAGTGTAGTCAAGGTCACTGTGCAACCTGCCTGCCGGCTACTCTCCCAGGCTGACCCTCTTCCTCCCTTGGAAACTGTCGCAGGTGTTCCAAACCCACACCCTAGGGAGGCAAATGCAGAAACCCCAGGCGCCAAGGAATGGGAGAGCCGGGAGCCGCGGCCAGGAGAGGATCCGGGGACGGGGTTGCCTCCAAGCGGGGATTCCATCCAACCCTCCGGACAGACCGAAGATGGGAAGCTAAGGGACCTGCGCCGTCCTCCCGGGAGAGCGCGCGGCCGGGGTCACCTGCTGCCCTGTAGTCGGGTCTCTCCCGCGAGGCGCTGGCAAGCAAGAGGCATGCAGCATTCAAAATGCATTTTTTTTTTTTTTGGAAAAACGTGGACTTCACGCTTTTTTTTTTCTTTCTTTTCTCTTTTTTCTCTTTTTTCTTTTTCTTTCTTTTCTCTTTTCTCTCTCTCTTTTCTCTCTCTTTTTTTTTACCAACACGGCATTGTACTCACTCCTTATTCCACGACCGGCTGCGCGCTCCGAGCTGCACGGGCAGGCATTTTCCCCGGCTTTGTTTTACAAGGTGGGGAGAGCGGGGCTGGAGGCGGGAGGGCTGTGGGGGGAGCGTGAGAAGAAACGAAATCGCGGGAAGGAGGGGACACCGGCGGCGGCGGCGGTCCGGGCAGAGGGCGAGGCCGAGGCCAAGTTGGGCTCGGACGCCGACGCCGACGCCACCGCCCCCGCGCGCGCCTGCGGCCGGGAACCCGGGTCACCAGGACAGCGCGGCCGTCCC